ATTGCTTTGGTGATTGTACTTGTCCCTTTCGAACGTCCCTTACAACTCCAACGATGGTGCTACCCACTCCTTAATAGTAGGATAACGTTGTCTAAAGGAAACGAGAACAAAAAAAATCTTTTTTCGAGTAGGTAGAATCTTAAGTACTTGCTCAATAAAAACTTTTCACACAAATACTTTTCAAAACAAATTTTCAAAACAAACTTCGTCACATCCTTAAAGACTGATACAAGGGTTATCACAAAGTAAAAACATTTTCAAGACAAACACACACAAGTAATTTGAAAAATGAGCAAATACCTAAGAGCCCGTAGATAACTACAGATAGAAAGGGTGCTAACACATTCCCTTTCTATAATCTACCCCCCGTACTCAGAATATCTCGAAAAAAGGTTTTTTCTGTTCTTTTTTCCTTTTCCATGATTGGATGAAATAAAAGTCGGTTGTGACTCTTGCTTACCGCGACATTTTGCAAACAAAAACACAAAACGCAAACCAGTATTAACAGTCAGTTCTGCCACCGTATCACCAGAACTGGCGACTCTGCTAGGGAAATGAATAAAGTGAGGTTTACCTTAGGATATAGATGATTAAATTGCTTCTCTTGATTGTCTTGATTGCTTTACTTTTAAGGGTTTTGTTCGGGGTTACTATAGATCCTACACCCGGATCTGAGGGCACTTGTTAGGTAAACAACAATAGATCATAGAGACTGTATGGCGTAGACCGATATAGTTTAAGCGATGGTTGTGTTGGTGTGACACTTTTGTTGATACTGGTATCCTTCATGGGGAAATAAGGAGAATACGGGGCCGCCGCGTGGGATAGTCCAGTTAGGGGATCCGCCCTACAATTCCTCCCTGTAGAAAGCGAGGGGATGAGAGTTTCTTCAGAACTTATCCATTGTGGCATCCATGTCAGAGTTGGATTTGATAAGTTGCTTGAACCTTCTTTTTATAGATCCCACTGTATGCTTGTTGAATCCCCCGCCGGAGATGACCATCACAGCAGGGAATGACTCCCAGGGACTGTAAGAGGAGAGTACAGTGGGACATACTCCATGTCTAGGAAGTAGAAATCTTCTGGTCGCGAGATACACATGGAGACCGGTATTATGCTGACGTTGGGAGACTCTTTTTCCTCTTCGACGCTCTTAGTTTCTAGAGCCTCCTCACGGGCACCCTCTTTCTTCTTGTACTACTTGAGGTGCTCATCTCGGATTAGTATCTCGACTGCATCCTTGAGATGGATGTAATTGTCGATGTTGTGACCATGGCTTTTGTGGAACTTGCAGTACTTGCTCTTGTCGGTTCTGGGCTTGAAGGGTGTCTGGAAAGGAAAGTGTATCCCGACCTGTTTAAATTCAGAGTTGGCGCATTCAGACAGAATACATTCTTTTGAAGTGGCCAGAGGGGTGTAGTCGTGGAACCGACCAGCAGACCCCTTGTAATCTTTGGAGTCTCGGGATATATACTCCCTCTTTCTCTCTCCCGGCCGACGGGATATCGAGGGCTCGTCGCTTCTCGAGGGTTTGGAACTCTCTTAGTGCCTTGAATCCCTAGTATTGTTGGCCACTTCTTTCTCCTCGTACTGAATGTACACTTGAGCCTTGATGAAAAGGGAGTCGAGGGTGGTTGGAGTTTCGATGCCCACGACCTTCGCGAAGTCGTTGCAGGGATAAAGCCCTCGTTTAAGAAGGTACTTCTTCATTACATCGGTCATTGAGACCTGTACGACTTCTTTGTTGAAGTGTTCGATATATGCACATAGAGATTCGTCTCCACCCTGGATAATCGCTTCAATTAAAGCCTCTAATTTTTTATGCCGACAGGAGACGGTGAAGTGCCTCGAAAATATCTTTCCCAGTTGTTTCCAAGAAGTAATAGATTCAGGGGACATGATTTTGTACCAAGCCAAGGCACATTTTCTCAGAGTATTCAGGAACAACCTGCATTTAATTGCACCTTTCACTCCTCACTAATCAAGTAGGGCATCGATGTCTTCTATGTGGTCGTCTGGGTCGGACATGTTGTCGTAGGATCCCAATGGGGGCGGCTTCTTGAGCCTGGCCGGGAGTCGCACCTCCATAGTTTCTCTCGACAATGGGCCGTAGGGCTCTTCGTCATCTGTCTCTTTTGGTGATGATGACGGGGAGTGATGTTTTCTTCCTCGCCAGGCATTGTCACCTCGTCGAGGGGAGGGGCTCCTCCCTCGTCGCCTGGGTCTGGGGGATAATGACCTACTATGGTTATCTTTGCATGTGCTCTTCGTCTTCTTGGAAAGCAAAGAGTCTTTGTCCTTCTTAGGAGGTGCGCGATCACGCTTCTTGTGGAAAGAAACGTCGAGCCTTTCTTTTCTTGGAGGACACCCCCCTCGGAGAGGTGATATGTTGGAGGAGTTATGTCGTTGGTGTCTCCAAGGGGGAGACCTTGACTATTTCCGCTCTAGAGCCCCCATCCATTTGCTCTGCTGGAGGATGAGGGAGTTGGTTTAATTAAGGGTAGCGATCAGTGCTGCTATGGCTGGGTCGGCGTTCTGCGGAATGGGGACCGATTGCAGAATCTCCGGCTGGTCTTCGATAGGGTTCTTGGGAAACTGTTTGTCCAAGAATGAATTGTTGCCGCAATCAGTGTTGGTTGAATTTGGGGACGCAGTATTTCCGTCACGGGCGCCGAAGTTATCCTCGAGGTGAAGATGTTCTTGGCTTCCGTCGGTCTTGCGTGTCGCGGAGAGCATAGTCTTTCCAGATAGGTGGTGAGCATCATGGTAGGCCATGATTGATGAATGAGGAGGATCTTTGGTCTTCAGATTTTGGAGAACAGAAAATGGGGAAGATAGTTCCCACAGACGGCGTCACTGATCTTACTGGTTAATCATAACCTGCAAAGTGGCCGGATGATGATCTTCAGACGGACTGGTAAGTCGAGGAGGAAAAAAATGGGGGTTGTACCTTCAAGGCACTCCGACAATTAAGTAAGTGTGGGAGCAAAAAGAGATACAAGAAAAGTATTAGGTTTTGATGGTGAATAGTGGATATTCGATACCTGGCTCTCACACAAGTGAGAGTTTATATAGTGCCCTTGACGCTTGGACATTGGTCCTTATTTTTGGGCCTAGATATGCGGGTCCGCAAAAATAGGTAACTTCCAGGACTTGGTCAAACAGAAAAGGTGTACCCGCAACTAGCCGTTAGTTTCGAGGAGGAGGTAGGTTATGGGTAGTGGTCGGGTCGGTTCCTGGTTGTCTGGCTGACTTGAGGTCAGACAGACTGAGAGATGCTCGTCGATTGTCGTAGGTCAGTGCTGGTCCAGGAGGACAAACGATCGATGATGTTTGACGGAAGGCAAAGGCGTCCGGGCCGTATCGAAGGAGGAGGCCTGACTGGGCACACTCTAGCCGTTGGACCAGTCTATAACACTTACAAATTTGGTTTATATGAAATTTTGGTGTAATTTCAAATTTTGTTTTAATATAAAATTGATATTTATTTAAAATTTAAGCTACAGTGTTATTAATAAGAAATTTAAATTTAAATTGTTTCATATAAAACAAATATGAAACCTTAGTTTGAAATGAAAATTATAATGCCGCGATTTTTCTTTGTGGTTTAAAATATCTACAGTTTGTTATTTGTGGCTTAAATATAAGTGTGATTTTGTAACCGAGATAATTGAAGAAAAGACCACAGTTTCGCACTCCGGATTCAATGTTTCAAAATATATGTCTACGATTTAAAAACCCTGAAGCTTGTATGTGGCCACGATTTTTGAATTGTGGAAATATTTAGCGTGGCTGTAGGCCAAAAATTTTGTAGTGTTTGTGTGATATATTGGTATTTGCGTTGAATTGTGATACTTCTCATGGTTTGCTATCTTTCGTTTTGATATTGTTAAAGGGGGAGAAGCATATGCGAGATGAAGTTAGGAAGCACAAGGTCAGGTGGAGCCTTCAACGAAGACATGAAATGCAACGTTGCAAGTTTTGCCATCATCAAAAAGAGGGAGTATGTGAATCTAGAATGAAGTATTTATAGGCCAGGTTAGTATTATGTTTCGCCTACATCAACACATTTCAAAAGTCACAATGTTGTTTCATGAAGTGTTGCCATTTTCGTTGCATGTTTTCATTCTGCAACACTTCTTGAAGTGTTGTTATTTTCGAATTCAAAATTAAAATTGTTCTGATGCATCGTGCTCAAGTGCCGCCTACAAGTTGCCACTAGCGCCTCTACGCCCTCGGACCCAGAGCCTGTGGCGACAAGTGGCATAATGGTCGGAACTACCACACTTATCCATGTGACACTTTATTCTCTTGTGTCCTTTTGTTGAGTTAATGAACTTAGCTCTTTATAAAGACTTTCAATGTGAGTAACTCTTTCTATGTGAGACTATTTCTCATGTATTTATTAGCATTTACTCACTTCCGTTTTTCTTTATCATTTTAAAACATATTGATTGTAATTATTGCTCATAAATTACAACACTCACTTTATATCCATTCCTTCCATTATTGTGCAGGCACTGGAGTTTATTGGTCTGCTATCTGCTACCTGCTGCAAATACATGCCTTTTATAATTGTTGACCACCAAACAGTACTAAATGATCTACCAGTCACACCTGTGTCTCTTCTAGCAGATAAAAGCTAGAATGTTATTGCAGAAACTGTTGTTTCCCATCTCTTTTCATTGACAGAACGCTCACTAAAGTGCTTTAAAAAATAAACCGCTCACTAAAGTGCTTTAAAAAATAAACCGCTCACTAAAGTACCAAAAAATAAAGATTTTATTAAAAAAGAACTACCTGTTTCAAATTTCCCTAATTAGTTAAAAAGAATATACATTCATGGATACATATTATACAAATGAAACAACTCATGAGAAATACATTTCTTTTTAAAAAGTGACATTACTTTCTTGGGACAATATTCTTTCACATGCTTCCCATGTTGGTGCTAAGATGAGTGTTAATTTCCACAAATAACATATGCATCATTCATCCAGTTATAGATCTCTGAGTCTAATAAGCTCTGGCAAAATAGCAGTAGCAAGAGCTGGTCTATCCTTTTTTCTCATCTCACAACACTTCAATGCCATTTTAGCAAATGATAAAGCCTCTTCGACCGGCCAATCGGTCACATTCGGATCTAACACCGCTGCAAGGTTATCGTTCTCAATGGCCTCCTCAACGAGACGAGCCACGCCGATAGGAGGCTTTCCAGTAATGATCTGTAAGAACATCACTCCTAATGAATATATGTCTGACTTTACGCCTAATAGTCCCGTTTGTTGATACTCCGGATCGATATAGCAAAATGTTCCAGCTGCAGCTGTCTGGTGATATTGAGTGGTTTTGTTGGCGATAGAAGGAGGAACTAGCCTCGCCAGACCAACATCGGTGATCTTGCTTATGTAGTTTCTGTCTAGGAGAATGTTTGCTGGCTTGAGATCGCGATGCACCACAGGTTCTGGTTTTGTTTGGTGAAGGAAAAGAAGGCCTGTTGCAATCTCTGCTGCTATTTTGAATCTAGTCCTCCATGGAATTGGCGGCGTGTTGCCTTTTTGATAAAGCCGATCTTCTAAGCTTCCGTTCTCTAGGTACTCGTACACGAGGCACCCGAATTCCGGACATGCACCTAAAAGTACTACAATGTTGGGATGTCTTATAGAGCCTAAAACAAGGACCTGCATTGGAGTCATTCATGTTACCAAAGTTAGAAGGAAATTTTTATACCGACTAAAAGCGAAAGCTGGTATATACATACTTATATCGACAAAAAAACATATTTAAGCAAGTATTATTCGGCATAAGAAATATGTAAAGTGAAAATTTGTTATCTTGCAAAAGAAGTTACCTCTTGATGAAATTGCTTCTCCCCTTGAGTTATGTCTGGTCTTAAGGCCTTAACTGCAACATCAGTGTTATCAAGCACTCCTTTGAAAACAGGTCCATATCCACCTTCACCAATTTTGCCATGAAGATCAAAGTAATTTGTTCCAACTTCAATTTCTTCGATACCGTATGTTTTAAACATATAGTTGCTGTCTACATTTTCATTTGATGTTCCTATCCTCTCTTCATTTTCTCCTACTTCCTCCTGTTTTCGCTTCTGAGTCTCCACTTCTGCACTTGTTTTCTGCTTCTCTGCCTCGGATAAATCCAATGCAGCCTCTTCAATAAGCCTAGCTTTTCTTCTGATCCATTCTTCTTGCATTTCCTGAATCACAAACACCAATTATCACTTTTTTTTAGGCCTCATTCTCATTGTACTAATCTGAAAACATGTCAGTAATTAATTACCTTCTGTTTCGAAGAACCGACTTCTCTACCAACCGACGCAGACCTACATTTCTTTGTTAACTTTTGCTCTTGTTTGAATCTATTTATATCTCTCTCCATGCCATTCTGACTTACATCTTGATTTTCATCTAATATTGACATTCTTGGTGGATAACTATCTCTTTGGGACACACATCTTGATCCTAGTCTTGCATCCATGTTTTGTCCAAATGTTCCACCGTCGTTACTTAAGCGCCGCCCGAGCCTAGGCTCGAACGATGTTCTGAACAAACAAGCACCACAGAATCACTAAATTAAGGACTAAACATCGATGAATTATTCTTAACAGAACTAAATTTGATATAACTGTAATTTTTACCTATGTAAATCTTTGGATAAATAACTTGGCTTAGGACTAGAAATTGTCATGGTTGGAATAGGAACTGTTGCTTGAACACTATGCACTTTTCCTTTTGATATAATATGAACTGTGCAAGATACTGGCAGAGATTTTATTAAGCTTGTTGGCACATCTAGATCTTTAAATTTCCTGCATTAATCCAATCCAACATTAATTAACTATCAAATAAGTAGTTATGAAACACGGACACAGACACGGACATCAGATACAGATACAGACGTGTCTTTTTTTCAGAAGTGTCAGTGCTACGTAGATAATTAATAGTAGATCAAAGAAAAACCTTATAAGAGCGTTATTCCAGCGAGGAGCACCGAGAACAACGTCCACGATCGAGTGATCAATGATGTAATCGTAAAGTGCACTCGAAACGTCAGAGTCTTGCAGAACCAACTCCTTTGCTACGATCTGAAATTAATCTCAACTTAATTATTATATAATCAAGATTAGTCTCTAATTTACAATTATTTTGTAATAATACTTACTCCTTTTCGAGCGCAAAAACCTCGAAAAGGAAGAAAAAGTTGATGCAATTCTTCTACCGTTGGCGCGCGAGCTTGTTTAGGTACAGATTCAAATTCATCTGCATGAACATAGAATCAAAACAATTAATAAATCATGAAAAATGCAATATATATTATTATACTAAATTATGAACACAATGTTGATTATGAATATTACTTCGATTTGAGGATTTGGTTTTAACGTGAATGAGTGTGCATGGAGAGTTCTTCTCCAGGAGATGATCAACAGCCCACTTTACAGCATGTTTGCTGTTCTTGTCAACATCAATGGCGACCAAGGTGGAGGAGGAACCTTCTTCTTCGCTTGAAGATGACATTGTTAATTAATTAACGTGATTAGTTTTACAATAATTGTTAATCTATGTTTAATGGAAAATAATTAACAATGGTTAATGAAGTTTTGGGAGCATTAACAAATATTTTTTACTATTTTTGGTGAGTTAAAATTGATTATACCAGAAAGGATTTAACAATGATTTGTTGTTAATACAGTTTAGTTGAACATTCTTTGATACGTTAATGCATGAGTTGGATTTAACTGTAAAACTAATCTTAATTAGCGTGTTTGAACTTCAGACAAATACAGATGTATCCATGGTTACAAATTAAGATAATTGTAATTAATAAATAAATTAAATAAATTAAAATACTACCTTATTATTAGAAATACAAAACATAATAGATTGAAATCAACTACTCATTATATTAAATATAATTTTAAAAAAAAAACATTGGTGTATATGTGGCTATTTTAATTGGTTCTGGCTATTCACTTACAATTTTGAAATGAAAGCTAAATATTACTTTATTTTTTTCATAGAAAATTAGAAAGCCTAATTTTATTTTGTACATTCTAACAATATGAGCTTGATCCAAACCCAAGGTAACATAATCCATCCCGACTTAATTTATTCCTGAAGAAAATCATTTTTAATGGGTCAGTTTAAGCATGTCGGCTCAATTATAAATATAACTTATTTTTTAATTAAATGTTTTTTTTTTATATTTTAAATTTGTCCACTCTATTTGTAACAGTTAAATAATATTTAAATTTGATTTTTTTTATAAATTTCTTTGGTTAATTTAAACAAATATTTTGAGTCTTATAAATATTTTTAATTTATTTAAAAATATATAATAATTCACTTTAATTTATTTGTTATTGAACTTTTTATTCAAAAAATCACAACATTATATTTTTTCTTTTATTTTTTATTAATTTTCATTTTCTTTTATTTTATATTTTTTAAAATATTACTTTTTTCAATAGAATCATGATTTTGTGCACTAAATAATCAAATATTCCAAAAAAAATCAAAAAAAGAAAATTTTAATTAGATTTATTTTATTTTGGCATTTTAGGAAAATATTTGTTAATCATTATTGAAAATCACAATCAAATTATTTTTGATTTGGACTTTTAATGAATGGTTAATATTTAATTTTTATTCTTTAGTTTTTGACCTAAATTACACTATAAATATTTACACTTTTTATATTTTAGAGGAGGCCTATTCAAGTCAACAATTTTCCACTCACATTCTCTCAGTTTTCACACTGAAGCCAATTTCACATACTGTACATAATATTGGAAATGTAATTTAGTTAATGTCTACAATTCCTAATACTTATTCTTTATTAGGGTTTTTTGACATTTTGATTTTAGTATAAATATGTTACCTAGGCTATCAATATTGTAACTCATTTGTATATTTGATATACAATAGTAGTCCTCTTTGTTATCATTCATTGCTCATTCTTCTTCTCCCCTTTCATTATCTTGCACCAACAAATTGGTATCAGAGCACTTGGTTCTGTTTTTTCTGGGAAACACGAGTGTTTGTGAGCTGTGTGTTTGATTTTGGTTCATTGATTTTCTGTTGAAATCTTGAACAAAATCTGAACAGAATCTGATTCTGTGGGTTGGGAAACAGTGTGTTTGAAGATCTGAAAAATCCTTGCAAGGTTTAAAATGAGTGGAGACAATAGTTTGAACACCAAACTTCCAGTTTTTAATGGCAAAAACTGGAACAGATGGATGATACAAATGTGTGTGTTGTTTGGTGCACAAGATGTTCTGGATCTGGTTACAGATGGTTATGTACCAGCTGCAGCAGATGCAACTGAAGAACAGAGAACTGCTGAGAGAATAATGAGGAAGAGGGACCAGAAAGCTCTGTTCTATATCCATCAGTGTGTGGATGAAAGTGTGTTTGAGAAGATTGCTGATTCAACAACGTCAAAAGGGGCGTGGGATTTACTGGTGAGATGTTACGGTGGTGACGCATCAGTAAAGAAGGTGAAGCTTCAATCCCTATGAAAGCAATATGAGAACCTGAACATGAAGAGCAGTGAGAAAGTTTATGAATATATCTTCAGAGTGATTCTGATCACTAACAAGATGAAGACGTGTGGAGAAACTCTGTCTGAACAGGTAATCATAGAGAAGATTCTGGGTCGCTTACTCCTCAGTTTGATTACATTGTTGTTTCTATTGAACATTCTAAAAATCTGGAAACTATGAGAATAGAAGAATTACAAAGCAACTTAGAAGCACAGGAGTTACGCCTGTCTGAGAGAACTTCTGAGAGGGAAGCTGAGCAAGCTCTGAAGGCTTTTTTTTGTCAAGAAAGACCAGAAGCAGAATAGACGTGGTGATAGATTTCAGAAGTCAGAAGCCTCAACTTCTGATGATAAGAAATATCATAAAGGAAAGGAGAGGTATGACAAAAGGAAGGTTCAATGTTACTCTTGTAAACAATTTGGCCATTTTGCCAGAGATTGTAGGTTAAACAAGGAAAGGAAATCAGAAGAAGCATATATGGATAAGAGAAACTCTGATGATGAACTTGTACTACTAATGGCTTCTGATTCTGATGGAAAATGCTCAGAAGATTGGTGGTATATGGACACCAGCTGTTCAAATCATTTAACTGGAAACAAACAATGGCTGACAGACTTTGACTCAAGAAGGAGAACAAAGATCAGATGTGCTGACGATAAGTATCTTAATGCAGAAGGTATGGGAGATGTCAGAGTTAGAGTGAAGAATGGGAAAGACATTTTGATCAAAGACGTTTGGTATGTTCCTGGTATTAGAAGCAATTTGATGAGCGTAGGTCAGCTGATTGAGAAAGGTTTCTCAGTTGTTATGAAAAACAATCTTCTGACGTTGTATGATTCCAATCAGAAGTTAATTATGAAGTCTGAACAAGGAGGCAACAGAACATTCAAGGTAAATGTAGAAACAGTTGAAGCAGTGTGCCTTAGTGCAGAAGGCGCTGAAGGTAACAGTAAGCTGTGGCATAAAAGGTTGGGGCATTTGAACTATAGAAGCTTAGGGCATCTATGTTCTAAGAAGCTTGTACATGGTATTTCGAAGATTGTGAAGCCCGAGAAGTCATGTGAGATATGCATGAAAGGTAAGCAACCTAGATTTCCATTCACATCAGAAGTAGCCCCCAGATTGAAGCATGCTCTGGGAGTAGTACATTCTGATGTGTGTGGACCATTTCCAGTACCTTCACTTGGAGGAAACAATTATTTTGTGTCTTTTGTGAATGAGTTCATAAGAATGACATGGGTAGCACTCATCAAGTTCAAGCCTGAAGTGTTTACTGAGTTCCAGAAATTCAAAGTGAAGGCTGAGAAGCATAGTGATCAGAAGTTAAAAATTCTGAGAACAGATGGTGGAGGTGAGTATAACTCTACAGTGTTTCAGAAGTTCCGTGAGGAGAATGGAATGGAACATGAGGTTACTGCTCTATATACTCCTCAGCACAACAGTCTTGCTGAAAGAAGAAACAGAACTTTGCTTGATATGACCAGAAGCATGCTGAAAGAGAAAAAGCTACCTCACGTGCTATAGGGAGAAGTTGTTGCCACATCAGCATATATTCTGAACAGGTGTCCAACGAAGAAACTGAAGGAAGCTGTTCCTTTAGAGAAATGGACTGGAGATAATCAGAGTGTCAATCATCTGAAGGTGTTTGGCTCTGTCTGTTACAAACACGTTCCAGAAGCTAGAAGATAAAAATTGGATGATAGAAGCAAAGTAATGTTGCTGGTGGGGTACCACAGTACATGTGCGTATGAGCTTTATTGTCCAGAAACTAATAAGGTTGAGGTCAGCAGAGACGTTGTGGTGAAAGAGTCTGAAACATGGGATTGGAACAAATCTCAATCAGATTCTGGTGTAGTTCCAACACCATAGTTAGCCTCTGAAGATGTTTTAGAAAGTTCAGAAGATGAATCTGATTCTGAAAATCCTGAAGATTCTGAAGATGAGTCAGAAGAAAATTCTGGAAATGGATCTGATTCTGATCCAGATGCTGATGATGATCCAGAATCTGGTGGTGATCATAGTTCTGGAAGGGAAAACTCTGAAGGTGGTAATTCTGAAAGTAGTAGTTCTGGTGTAGCTTCAGAACAAACTCAAAGACCACAAAGAATCAGACAAAAACCAAGAAGGTTTGCAAATTTTGATATGTTGCAGGATAATGAAGTTGACTCTGAAGGAGAAGTCGTTAAGTGTGCCATGTTAGTAGATTCTGAACCAGTGGGTATTAAAGAAGCTCTCAAGAAGAAAGAATGACTTAATGCCATGAAAGAAGAAGTTGAGGCAATAGAAAGAAAAAAAACTTGGAAATTGGCTAAACTTTCAGATAAGAAAAAAGCCATCAGCGTCAGATGGGTTTTTAAGTTGAAACTTAAGACTGATGGTTCCATTGGCAAGCACAAAGCTAGGCTAGTAGCTAGAGGTTTTCTTCAGAAATCTGGGCTAGATTACTTTGAGGTGTTTGCGCCTGTAGCTAGGCATGAAACAATCAGATTGGGATTGCTTTAGCTGCAAACAAAAATTGGCCTTTAATGCATCTGGATGTGAAGTCTGCATTTCTGACGGTCCATTACAGGAAGAAGTTTATGTGTCATAACCTCTTGGATTTGTGAAAAAAAATCAGGAAGGGATGGTATACAGGTTAAGTAAAGCTTTGTATGGACTGAAGCAAGCGCCTAGAGCTTGAAATCTGGAAATTGATTCATTTTTCAAGAAGCAGAGGTTTCAGAAGTGTGAGATGGAATATGGAGTTTATGTACAACACTCTGATAACAATATAATTCTGGTGTGTCTCTATGTTGATGACATTTTGCTAACAGGTAACTGCTCAGAAGATATAAAGAAGTTCAAGGAAGTTCTGATGAATGAGTTCGAGATGACAGATCTAGGAAAAATGACATATTTCCTAGGGATGGAGATTCTATACTCGAAGAAGGGTATCATTCTGCATCAGTTAAAATACGAACAAGAACTTCTGAA